GGGGACATTAGAGTGTAAGCTCCTCTGGTACAGACTGATGGGACTGTGGGGGGGGAGGGGACATTAGAGTGTAAGCTCCTCTGGTACAGAGACTGATGGGACTGCGGGGGAGGGGACATTAGAGTGTAAGCTCCTCTGGTACAGAGACTGATGGGACTGTGGGGGGGAGGGAACATTAGAGTGTCAGCTCCTCCTGGTACAGAGACTGATGGGACTGTGGGGGAGGGGACATTAGAGTGTCAGCTGTACAGAGACTGATGGGACTGTGGGGGAGGGGACATTAGAGTGTAAGCTCCTCTGGTACAGAGACTGATGTGACTGTGGGGGAGGGGACATTAGAGTGTCAGCTCCTCTGGTACAGAGACTGATGTGACTGTGGGGGAGGGGACATTAGAGTGTAAGCTCCTCTGGTACAGAGACTGATGGACTGTGGGGGAGGGGACATTAGAGCGTAAGCTCCTCTGGTACAGAGACTGATGGGACTGTGGGGGAAGGGGACATTAGAGTGTAAGCTCCTCTGGTACAGAGACTGATGTGACTGTGGGGGAGGGGACATTAGAGTGTAAAGCTTCTCTGTACAGAGACTGATGTGACTGGGGGGGAGGGGACATTAGAGCGTAAGCTCCTCTGGTACAGAGACTGATGTGGACTGTGGGGGGAGGGGACATTAGAGTGTAAGCTCCTCTGGTACAGAGACTGATGTGACTGTGGGGGAGGGGACATTAGAGCGTAAGCTCCTCTGGTACAGAGACTGATGGGACTGGGGGGGAGGGGACATTAGAGTGTAAGCTCCTCTGGTACAGAGACTGATGGGACTGTGGGGGGAGGGGACATTAGAGTGTAAGCTCCTCTGGTACAGAGACTGATGTGACTGTGGGGGAGGGGACATTAGCGTGTAAGCTCCTCTGGTACAGAGACTGATGGGACTACGGGGACTGTGGGGGAGGGGACATTAGAGTGTAAGCTCCTCTGAGACTATGGGAGAGTGTAGCTCCTCTGGTACAGAGACTGGCTTAATGTTCTCTATACAGCACTTTGGACCACGTTGGAGATGTTCTTGGACCTTCTCCTCCACAATTGTGGGAGGACGCTCACATATATATATATATATATTTTTGCAATCTCTGTTTTGCGGTTTTTGCTGCACTTGATTTATCTCGACCAATGACAACCATTGCACAAGTCTCCATCGAAGCCGTCAATGTGTTTCCTGCTTCTTAAAGCTTGAAGCAGCACAAAGAACCTTCACATTGCTTCCTGAAATTGCAAAAGGTCCATTGCTCATCAGCCATCGGGAGTGGGGTGACGGGAACAAATCCTCAACACCACCAAAAACGTTCTTCCCCTATCTAGCATCCAATGCTCTGATCGGACGCCATTTCAAGGAATTAAACATTTTTTTCTAGGAGATCTAGGTCTAGGAGACCCTCATGAGCCTGCCATGGCTGAAGTAGACCTGGACTACCTTGCCAACGTGACCACTGGTGGCTTTGTGGTCAGCACTGAGAGCTATGATGTAGAAGAAGAGATCTTCCTTTGCATCAAAACGGAAAGCAATACATTTGGAGAAGCGATTGTCCCCGTCTTCTTCTACCTAATCTTCACCATAAGCTTGCTGGGGAACGGCCTGATTTTGTTCCTGCTCTTGAAATTTGAAAACGTCAAGACGGTGACCAACTTATTTATCCTCAACTTGGTGATCTCGGACTTGCTGTTTACATTTTCGCTCCCATTTTGGGGATATTACCAAAACCATGAATGGATCTTCGGAGATGGTCTGTGCAAGGTGGTCCCATCCATCTTTTACATTGGATTTTACAGCAGCATCCTATTCCTGACCATGATGACCGTCGATCGCTACATGGCCGTCGTCCATGCCATCTATGCCGCCAGGACCAGGAAACTCGTGTACGTCTACTTGGCGAGCGCCGTCATCTGGGCGATAAGCCTGTTGTCGACCATTCCCAAATTAATCTTGTATGGAACGAGGAGTGATAACTTATACGGGAATCTCTGTGTGGAGACTGGTTATGATGAGAAAACGATCCAATGGTGGAAGATGGTAGGGTACTGTCAACAGCTGGTCATGTTCTTCTTGATACCATTGGTCGTCATCCTCTACTGCTACACGTTGATCGTTGTCAAGCTGTACCGTACCAAAATGCACAACAAGGACAAAGCCGTCAAGCTGATCCTCCTCATCGTGTTGGCCTTCTTTATTTGCTGGACCCCATTCAACGCCGCCCTCTTCATCAAAGCTCAGCACCTTTACCAAGGTAACAACTGCGACGACAACATTGACAAGGTCTACCTCGTCTGCCGAAACATCGCCTATTTCCATTGCTGCATCAACCCCTTTTTCTACACCTTTGTCGGCACCAAGTTCCGGCACCATTTGGCCACTATGTTCAGCAACTGGATCAGGTGCGGCCTGAGGTACAGGCACTCCAGCCTGAGCAGTAAGATCAGCGAATATTCCCCGCAGACCATTTACGAATAAATAGACTTTATGAAGAACAATGGCAGTTGGCAACGGCAGTAACCTCTTAGCTTTTTTGGGGTTAAGGATACATGAGAATTTTTTTTTTTTTTCTTTTTTACATCTTGAATTACTATATCTTTGTTTAGCTTAATGAAGCTCGCTAAATGCCTGCCAAACGCTTGTTAGAGCTTGTATTGCTCTTTGTATATTGGTATGTCCCCACAGACTTTAACTGAAGGCTGCTTTTGAGGGCTTCAGACTGCCTTTGAGGGCTTCAGGCTGCTTTGAGGACTCCAGGCTCTTTTGAGGGATTTATGGTGCTTTGAGGGCTTCAGCCTGCCTTTGAGGGCTTCAGGCTGCTTTTGAGGGCTTCAGGTTGCTTTTGAGGGCTCCAGGCTCTTTTGAGAACTTCATAGTGCTTTGAGGGCTCCAGACTGTTTTGAGGGCTTCAGGCTGCTTTAGAGGGCTTCAGACTGCCTTTGAGGGCTTCAGGCTGCTTTGAGGGCTTCAGACTGCCTTTGAGGGCTTCAGGCTGCTTTAGAGGGCTTCAGACTGCCTTTGAGGGCTTCAGGCTGCTTTGAGGGCTTCAGGCTGCTTTAGAGGGCTTCAGGCTGCTTTACAGGGCTTCAGACTGCCTTTGAGGGCTTCAGACTGCTTTGAGAGCTCCAGGCTGCTTTGAGGGCTTCAGACTGCTTTAGAGGGCTTCAGACTGCCTTTGAGGGCTTCAGGCTGCTTTTGAGGGCTTCAGGCTGCTTTAGAGGGCTTTAGGCTGCTTTACAGGGCTTCAGACTGCCTTTGAGGGCTTCAGACTGCTTTGAGAGCTTCAGACTGCTTTTGAGGGTGTCAGACGGCTTTGAAGGCGTCAGACTGCTTTGAGGGCTTCAGGCTGCTTTTGAGGGCTTCAGGGGCTGCTTTTGAGGGCTTCAGGCTGCTTTGTGGGCTTCAGGCTGCTTTTGAGGGCTTCAGACTGCCTTTGAGGGCTCCAGACTGCTTTAAGGGCTTTTTGAATGTTTTCTGAATATGATACCCTCATGCTAGGTTGTATGAGCTTAATTTAAAAAAAAACTGTACCTGTGGGTTTAGCTCATGGCCACCCAGTACTGATCTGTGGGTTATGGAGAGATTCTGGGGGGCTTCAATCACCCCTGACCTCAGCAGATGAATTATAATGACCATGGAAGGGGGGGGGGGGGTTGGGGCGGACTCAGCAACTCAGATTTACTTGCTGATGCCTCAAAAGAAGCAAAAGAAGGGGCAGATGCATGCTAAATATCAATTTTGGAGAGACTGTCCCTTTAATTGGGTCTGGTTCTGTATTTTTAAAGGGCCAGTACATTAAAATGTACAAAAGTGATTGCTAATCACGCAACTAAGTTTGCACATATAGCCACACCCAATCATAGGGTTGCCACGCCCACTTTTTTTTACTGCATTACTCTCCTTGTCACACCCACAGAAGTTTTTAGCCACACCCAATAATAGTTAGCCACGCCTGCTTTCCGCTGCTGTACTCTCCTTCGGCTGCAGTTCGTCTGCTCACCAGGACGTTCTTTTTTTTTTCTAAGGTTGGGAGGATTTTTTTTGAGGATTGTATTTGAGATGAAGGGAGTTAAAGGTTCAAGCAGGGGCGGACTGACCATTTGGAAACTCGGGCACTGCCCGAGGCCCGGGGTCAGTAGGGGGCCCCATGAGATGCCCCTGGTACCTTTTTCATAGTTTTTGAGTTTGGGCAAGGACATAGGGGCCCCATCATCCCCTATTGCCCGGGGGCCCCATGAGTTGTCAGCCCGCCCCTGGGTTCAAGAACCACATTTGTGCACGGTGCTAACGTGCGTTTATGTCGGCGTTTAGGCAGCTCACTGGAATCAATGGGCTGCCAATGGGCTGGAAGGTCCCAAAATTTCAAACCCAATACATGGCCCTGCTCTGCAATGCATGCGCATCACCTTAGAGCGGGGGTGTCAAACCGGCGGCCCTCCAGCTGTTGCGAAACTACAAGTCCCATCATGCCTCTGGCTTTGGGAGTCATGCTTGTAGCTGTCAATCTTGCAATGCCTCATGGGACTTTGTAGTTTGGCAACAGCTGGAGGGCCACCAGTTTGACGCCCGTGCCTTAGAGCATTGGGATGCCATTCAAAATGGAGTGCATCTAACCAGGGGCGGACTGACCATTTGGAAACTCGGGCACTGCCCCAGGGCCCGGGGTCAGTAGGGGGCCCCATGAGATGCCCCTTTTACCTTTTTCATAGGCTTTTTTGAGTTTGGGCAAGGACACAGGGGCCCCATGATCCCCTATTGCCCGGGGGCCCCATGAGTTGTCAGTCCGCCACTGCACTAACACACGTTGCCACACAATGTGATGCAATGCATAGATGGACCCATACTGAAGCAAAGATGGAGATCTGCTCCTGGGGAAAAAAAATCAGCTGTCATCCCCGTGTCCTGACAGGTCCTCTTTGAGGCCATCTCTTGATTTGGCAATCTCCATGGCATTCAGCAAAATCAATGTCAATGTGTGATGATTAATGTGAAATATAAACCTCATTTTTGGATGTTTTTTATACTTTTCAGGGAAAATCAAAGTCATTGTTTTTGTTTTAGATTTCACGTTTCACTGTTTTCAGTCTGAGCGAACTTTTGATCAGACGCAGAATTCAAAGCGATCTTCCTTTTGTTGGTTCCGTGCAGAAAACAAAATTAGAAATGTCGATGTTTGGAGGTCGAAATTTTGTATTATGATTTATTAAAGGATATTTCTTTTGAAACCACAAAATGACTTCCTCTATTTCCTTTGTTGTGGATACAAATAAGACGTCAGTGTAAACGTTTCATGTATTGCTACATTGTGTCCAGCGCTGGATACATAGGAATTATACCATCGCTACATTGTGTCCAATGCTGGATACATAGGAATTATACCATCGCTACATTGTGTCCAATGCTGGATACATAGGAATTATACCATTACTACATTGTGTCCAACGCTGGATACATAGGAATTATACCATTGCTACATTGTGTCCAACGCTGGATACATAGGATTTATACCATTTCTACATTGTGTCCAGCATGCTGGATACATAGGAATTATACATTGCTACATTGTGTCCAATGCTGGATACATAGGAATTATAACATTGCTACATTGTGTCCAATGCTGGATACATAGGAATTATAACATTGCTACATTGTGTCCAGCGCTGGATACATAGGAATTATAACATTGCTACATTGTGTCCAGCGCTGGATACACATTATTTATACCATTGCTACATTGTGTCCAGCACTGGATACATAGGAATTATACCATCGCTACATTGTGTCCAATGCTGGATACATAGGAATTATACCATCGCTACATTGTGTCCAGCGCTGGATACAAAAGATTTATACCATTGCTACATTGTGTCCGGAACATGGCGTGACCGCAGCCCTACCAACCACGCTGTAACTTGCGTATAATGCCACTCTCAGCTGCACATTGTGCTCGCGGGGACAAATCGTGCTGGATGGTTACTCATTATTTGCAATTACCATTGCTACATTGTGTCTGTCCCAGACGGAACATGGCGTCTGCAACCACACCCACAGACAGGGATATTCTGGATATTACACACAGGAACACTCTTCCAGGGACAGGGTCTGCATTACACACACTGAAACCTCAGGACAGGGGATATTCTGGATATTACACACAGGAAACCTCTTCCAGGGACAGGGACAGGGATATCACCAACCACGCTCTTCAGGGACAGGGATTGCGTAACAATGCCACTCTCAGCTGCACCCACAGCACAAGGGACAGATTTTATTACACACAGGAACACTCGCCAGGGACAGGGATACAGGATCTATGTGCACAGCAGCCTGAGAGGGACAGGGATGGAGGATTATTACACTGGAACACTCTTCCAGGGACAGGGATATCGGAGGATTATTACAGGAACACTTAGGGACAGGGATGTGCAGAGGATTAACCCTTCACACTGCCACCACAGAGATAGGAAGAAATTCACACAGGAACATCCCAGGGACAGGGATATCAAGGACTATGATATCAGCATAAGGGACGTATCTGCAATACAGGAACACTGTCCAGGGACCCACAGGGATATCAGGGATATTCTGGAACACTCTTCCACACACAGGAACACTCTTCCAGGGACAGGGATATCAGAGGATTATTACACACAGGAACACTCTTCCAGGGACAGGGATATCAGAGGATTATTACACACAGGAACACTCTTCCAGGGACAGGGATATCTGGATTATTACACACAGGAACACTCTTCCAGGGACAGGGATATCAGAGGATTATTACATACAGGAACACTCTTCCAGGGACAGGGATATCAGAGGATTATATATACAGGAACACTCTTCCAGGGACAGGGATATCAGAGGATTATTACACACAGGAACACTCTTCCAGGGACAGGGATATCGGAGGATTATTACATACAGGAACACTCTTCCAGGGACAGGGATATCAGAGGATTATTACACACAGGAACACTCTTCCAGGGACAGGGATATCAGAGGATTATTACACACAGGAACGCTCTTCCAGGGACAGGGATATTCAGGATATTACACACAGGAACACTCTTCCAGGGACAGGGATATCAGAGGATTATTACACACAGGAACACTCTTCCAGGGACAGGGATATCGGAGGATTATTACACACAGGAACACTCTTCCAGGGACAGGGATATCAGAGGATTATTACATACAGGAACACTCTTCCAGGGACAGGGATATCAGAGATTACATACAGGAGCACTCTTCCAGGACCGGGATATTCAGGATATTACACACAGGAACACTCTTCCAGGGACAGGGATATCGGAGGATTATTACACACAGGAACGCTCTTCCAGGGACAGGGATATTCAGGATATTACACACAGGAACACTCTTCCAGGGACAGGGATATCGGAGGATTATTACACACAGGAACACTCTTCCAGGGACAGGGATATTCAGAGGATTATTACACACAGGAACACTCT